GGAAGGAAGGAAGGAAGGAAGGAAGGAAGGAAGGAAGGAAGGAAGGAAGGAAGGAAGGAAGGAAGGGTAGCAATGCAGGTGGTAAGGTAAAGCAGTCCCTCCTGCCAAGGAGAAGGTAACACAAAGCACAGGACATTTGCTGATCAGCAGCTGCTACTGAAGCAGCCTGGGTCCATTGACTCCGTCTTCTGAGGAGAGTGATGACCTGGGTATGGGGAGCAGTGATGTGGCCTGAGCATTACCTGGGCAAGCCGTCCTGGTTGCCAGAAGGGCCTGGTCCACCAAACATCCCTTGAGTTTGTCCATGGTTCTGGGGTCTCAGGGATGAACCAGATACAACCCTTGCCTGTCAGGAACACAGACAAAGGCAGGATGGGTGTCACTCCTCACAGGCTGACACTTTGAAGCTGAGGAGAAACATAGGGGAAGATGCTTCTAGGTGGAGTAATCCAGTGTGTGATGTTAGGATAGCACAACCTCGTTTCAGAGACTCTAGTCATTTTATAGGCTGCGTGTCTCTGAGCAATTTCCCTGATTTATCTCAGAGGTTCCACATTGACATGGAGAAGAAAGGGCAGAGGGGCCAGGAGAGGTGGCTCAGCAGGTAAATAAGCTTGTTGCCAAACCTGATCACCTGAGTGTCAACCCCAGGATCCACAGGATAGAAGGAGAGAACCAAATCCCACAAGTTGTCCTCTGACCTCCACATGTGCATTATGGCTTGTGCATACCACCACACAAAATTAAATAAAGAAAAAAATGTAAAGAAAGGAGGCAGAGGGGGGAAGAAAAGAGAAAAATTCAAATGGTTGGGAAATTAGGCGATAGAATGTACATATGCCAATCAGTGCTCCACATATATCAGGCGAATAAGAAAAGTACTTTCCTGAGCCCCCATGGGTCACTGCTCTGACCCCCTATCTCCTCAGCCCAGGTGACTTTCCTCCCTTCCACACTCATTCCTGAGCCTTAGCCATGTAGCCAGAGCCCTTGACTCCCACAGACTTCCTCAGGCGGGAAACCTGAGCCCACACCCGGCTGGACAGCTTCTGCTTCTAGGGCTGCATTCTCTCTCTCTCTCTCTCTCTCTCTCTCTCTCTCTCTCTCTCTCATCTCCTCTCTCTCCCTCTCTCTCTCCCTCTCTCTCTTTCTGCAACAAAATAAAACCAAACAAAAGCTCAACGCCTGGCGTGGCTGGTCAGGGAGTTATGCAAGTGTGTAAAAAAATAAAATAAAATAAACATTGTGTTTTCAGCATTTGGGGGCTGTTTGATTAGGTGCAGAGCAGGGCCAAGGGCTGGTCAGACACAGAGGAGGCTTGGGGCAGAGAGAAGCGGGAAGGGCCTCTGGAGGGGGCCAGAGGGCCCTGGACCAGCTCCTGCAGACTTGTGTGAGAGCCCAGACACTGGGCATTTGAAAGCCAGCAGCTCACTTCCTCTGGCTAGTCACCCTGTCCTTCCCTAGCCATCGGCATATCCCAGAGGCCATTCCATTCTTACCCCTCTCACTACCCTTTGGTAGTGGGACCTGTGGCCTTGGCTCAATAGCCAGGGCTCTCCAGAGGCTAAGGAGATTCCACAGCCTGTCTTCATTACTCACCCCTACCCCCGCCCCCAAGTCAGCCATCCTTTCTGCTGGAACTGAACTCTGTAACTGCAGTTCTGAGCTCCTTCCCTTCTAGTCTGAGGCTGGAAGGCAGCTGTTTGCCACCCTCAGACCTGTGCCTCCCTCCCTTCCTCCCCTTCAGGTTGGACTTAGCCTTCATTAGATCACTGCAGGTGTGTCTATTGCCCTTTCTTTCTCACCTCACACTAACATTTCTAGAGTCCCTGCCTGGAACCGGGAATCAGTATCTTTCATTTCACTGAACCCTCAAAACAGATGAGAACGGAGGCTCAGGGAGGTTAAGTAACTTAGGCCTGGCCACACAGCCCAGTGAGGGGGCAGGGATTGGGACAGAAGCTGTTTTCTAGAATCACCCACTCTGACAGGCTGATATAGAACTGTCCTCACTTGGGTCTTCACACTGGAAGACGCTCTGAAGGTTTGACCCTGAAGTGGGGGAGCTCTGTAGGCTCTGTCCCTCCTCACTTTCTAAGTTCCTAGTGAGGGACTGGTCTTGGCAAGGGTCCCGGGCCCCTGCTTCTGACCCCAAGAAGACCACATCTACTGTCAGAGCTGTGACTGCCCCAGTGATCCGAGTGCAGGGCAGCGAGAGGCGACGCGAGCCCAGGGCGTGTGCCAAGGTGCAGAGGGCTGGTCCCTGCGCCCACCGCGGGCACCGGCGTGCGGGAGGGGGCTGCGGAGTCCCGGCCCCGCGCTCCAGTCCGTTTTTTCTTGAGGATCCGGCAGGGGGGCCGGCTGGGGGTGGGCCTGCGCCGGGGGATTCCCTCCCTTGTGCTAGCCGGGGATCGGCCCCTCTCCCGGCGCGAGGCGCAGAGCCGCGGTGCAGAGGGCTGGTCCCTGCGCCCACCGCGGGCACCGGCGTGCGGGAGGGGGCTGCGGAGTCCCGGCCCCGCGCTCCAGTCCGTTTTTTCTTGAGGATCCGGCAGGGGGGCCGGCTGGGGGTGGGCCTGCGCCGGGGGATTCCCTCCCTTGTGCTAGCCGGGGATCGGCCCCTCTCCCGGCGCGAGGCGCAGAGCCGCGGCGGCGGGCGGCGGACAGCGGGGCCCGGGCGGCCCCAGCTGCTGGCGGCCAGGCGCGGATTGAGCAACCCGGCGGCGGGCGGAGCGCGGGGCCGACGGCCTCGCCCTCGCCCCTCAGGGCTGCCCCGCCGCCACGGCCGCTCCAGGTGAGTCTCCCGGCCCGGGATCCTGCTCCCCGCGGTCCCCAGTCCGGGTCCGGGAGGAGCCGAGAATCCGGGAAGACCATGGAGAGCCCCAACCCGGTTCCCATCCCAGTCCCTGACCCTGTCCCCGACCGCAGACCGACGTCGGATCCCGTCCCCTTCCCCGACCTCGACCGGATCTTCGACCGCGTCGCGGTCCCTGACTCGGTCCCTGTCTCCGACCCCAATCCCAACTCCACCTGGTCCCAGACTCTGTCCAGGTCCCTAACCTGGTCCCCAACCCGGTCCCTGATTCGGTCCTTGTTCCCGACGCCAACTCCTTCGGGTCCCGACCCTGTCCAGGTCCCGGCCCCCGACCTGACGCTACCCAGTCCCTAATTCGGTCCCCGACCCCGATCCCCACGTTCTGCTGTGATCCAACCGGGGCTCCAGGTCCCCTCCGCATCCCGGGTCCCCGCCCGGTCACCTCCGCCCCGACCCCGGCTCCCCCGCCTCCGGCCGCGTCCCACGCTGCTGGCGACCGGGTCCTCCCCCGCCCGACGTGGCAGGCGGCGCGCGGCGACCGGGTGCGCAGCTGGTGGCCAGAGGGACCACAGGGTGGGCTGGCCCGGAGAGGTGGGCTGCGCGCACCGGGGACAACAGAGGGGGCTCCGCTTGGGAGACCCTCGCTCAAGACCTCGCTGTGATGCTGGGGATAGCCGGGAACAGCGGGTCCGGCTCCCCTGGGCACCTGTTGGGGCCTGTGCTGGAGAGAGGAATGAGGATGAATGGATATGAGCGCTGGGGGTGGGCGGATCAGCGCCTGCCTCTTTCTCCGCTTTGCAGGCAGTGGGATGGGAATGGTCCAGATCCCCGCACCGGGCGAGGCTCTGGAGGACACACTGAGCCAGTGGGTCCCAGAGGCAAGCACTCCCACCCCAGCCCAGCAAGGCTTCGGCCCCCGCTGGAGCCTCTACAGCCGATGGCTGGTCCTAGCGATGGGGGTGGAGGGAGATGGCTAATGAAAAGTCATCTACATGGTTTACATTTTTTGGGTCTGTATCCGGCATCTGACAGAATACCAATTTATCCTGACTGTGGCAGGCTAGAAGGTGAAAGTTACCCCAGCCCCCTGTTTAGTTCTGAGTCCCTGCCCTAAGTTCCTCTTGCAGTTGAGTCCCCCTCCCCTGTGTGGATCCTCCCTGTGGCTCTGCCCCTCCCAGACCCAGGTGAGCTTAGCCTGTGATCTCCTGCCAGCTCACAGCCTCGGACCCCCCCCCCCATCACAGGCAGCCCACACTCCCCAGCTCCCTGCAGAGGCCATGGCCAGCCTCTGAACAGTCAGTGCCTGGGTAGCAAACTCATTTAAAAATCTCCTGTCCTTAAACTCACAGAACCATGTTTCTCTAATCCCACCTTCCTCCTCCAGTTATGGAGTGCATAAAGATCTAGGCCCTGGCAGGAGGGTAAAGAAACCTAAAGGTGGGATTCTGCATGCGCCCCATGCCTGGGGCCTTGAACAATACCCACAGACAGCTCTCTTTCCAATGGGGTAGAGAACTCTATTGGGTAATGAGGCCTCCAATAACCCCAAGACCCACGGGAAATCAGGCCTATGGTAGAAATAATGTAGGCCATTTGAAAGGTTGTCACCTTTCCCAGCTCCTTTCCCAGCTCTCCTTCACAATGTCCATGTCCCCATGGGGCCCAGAGAGGCTGGAGGGAGGGGGAGCCTCTGAAGCTGAGACCTGTGGCCCTCCAGAGCTGGGTACCGCAGGGTCTCTAGACCCTATCCCACGTGCAATGATCATCCCTATAAAATGTCAGGCAGCCTGTTGATATTGGGGTACTGTTTCCTGTCCAAGATCAGCTGGAGCTAAGTCGCAGAGCACCTTCAACCTTCACATGGGGTGGCTGCCCTGCTGTTTACCCACCCTGCTTTGCGCTTGTCTGTTGCTTGTATGCCCTGCTATGAATGAACTATTAACTCCGTTGCCAGACTGAAGATAAAGATAGTTCTCCAAAGTGTTTAAAACTCTTTCCATCCTAGAGGCAAGAGAAGCCAGTGACGTTCCCAGCTGCCCCTCCTCTCATTCCCCAGCAAAGACTGAGGTTTCCTGGAGGTCCTGGAGGGGGTGGGGCAGAAACTCTCCCGGACAGGGACTTTGGGGGACCCAGTGAGTGTGGTAAGGGCAGGGTGGGAGGGGAAACTGGGAGGATGAGGGGAAGTCAAGAGGCAGGAGGGCAAGCAAGGGGTTACCATCAGCTAGTTTGCTGAGTGCTTACCCTTGATGTACCAGGCACCATTTGGTGGGCACTGAGAGTACAGAGACACCCAGGAGATCTTCCCAGCCTCAAGGACCCCAGGGGCACTGACCACACAACCAGGTCAAAGTCACAGACCCAGGTTTGACACCAACTTGTCTGAGGCAGTGTTTTCAGGTGTCAGGACTGGCAGAGCCTGGCTGCCCCAGTCCTTACACCTCCATCTGACAGTAGTTGCCTTTAGAGGCAAATCCGGGGCCACTGCCACCAACCACAAGGATAAATGCAAATGTGGTGATGGCAGACTGGGTTTTGCATTCAGTTTGCTACCCAGATGATTCGGAAAATATCAAATTCTTTTATCTACAGCTGTAGCAAGATGAAACCTCACTCATGAAAGATATAATGGATGTGACTGAGACCCCACAACTTGCCAGCACTGTTCTGGGCAGTTCATGACCCAGCTTACCTAAGCTATACCCAAACCACCTTCTTGCAGATAAGCAAACAGGCTCAGAGTAGCTAAGCAAGTAAAGGAGCACAGCTAGTAAGTAACAAGGTTTGCCCCTGCCAGCCTGGCAGCCTGACTCTGAAGTTTCTGCCTGTATCCTCAGGCTCCACACCCAGCCTCTGAGGCTCCGTGCTTGGGGCTCAGAACCCCAGTTTGCTAAGCTTGGCTGAATACCCATGACTGTGGGGGCTGGAGTACGTTGTGGGTACTGAGAGGCACTAGTAAGGAGAGCTGGAGGAGTACGTAGGCAGTGGCAGCTGACTGGGCATGGAGGGTGGTGGGGGGCATCTCCGCTGGCTCCGGCCACAGCACCAGGTGGGATCCATCAGACTCATGTAAACACTTCTCACAGGCAGCTTAACCACTTGAGTGTGTCTGGCCTTCAAAGCCAGGGGGAGAGGCTGCGGAGGGAGGTACTGAACTCCCTCTGGGGGTAATGATTTATCTCCAGTGCAGGTGGGCTCCACTGGGGCCCCTCTGGGAGGCCAGGGGGTGGACTGGGCATGGAGGTTGGGGGGGGTGCTCCATGCTTGTATCTCAGGTTTCTCATTAGTAAGCCAAAACAGCTTAGAGCCAGCCATGAACCAGTCAGGTTCGTCCCCATTTCATAGATGAAGAGACTGAGGTTCAGGGAGGCAAGACTACTGGTTCAAAGACAACTGAACAGAGCTTTCTGGATAACAGGTTAAATGCTCACCCTGTGAGCCTAAGTGAATGTGCCAGCCAGCGTGTGAGGCAGTGTTGGGAAGCATCTGATGTGAGCCTGTGACCCAGTGAGTGAGGAATAGAGCTGTCATTCTCATTCTTAGGTCAGGCCCTGAGGCTCAGATGTTCACCTTTTCAGATCCACCAGTCAGGGAGGGACAGACACCTCTGCCCCCATCACCCTGGCCACCGGGTCCAGAGCCCTGGCTCGCAGGGCTGGGGGATTATCGCCATTCTCTGTGTCTCTGGCCAGGGCAGGCATGGCAGCTGCATTATCCCCTTACAAAAGCTGGGCCCACCAGGCCTGCTGTGTCAGAGTTTCTGTGGCCTGGGGCAGAGTGGGGGCTCACTTCCTTTTCTGCCACCAACCCCAGACAGCTGTGCAGAGTCTGCTGGCCTGCCAGCCACCACTGCTCTAGCTTCGGGCACTGGGACAGGTAAAAGGCACGATGGTGACTCAGCACTGGGAAGAAAAAGCTGAGGAGTCATTCATGGAAAGACAGAGAGACCTCCTTTTCAAGTGTCTGGATATTCTAGAAGCATGATGTCTATAAGGCAGATGTACAGAAGGACTTCCAGTTAGAACTGGCCAATATTAGTCAGGGGCAGGGCCAGCTGGTTCCCGTTATTGAGAAATCACCAGGGATGTACAAGTTTGGTTTGAGTATTCCCCATATTCCAGTTACTTAGGTAGCTGGCCCCAGTGTTGGGATACAGGATGCTTAGAGACAGGAGTAAGAGGAGGTTTCTTCAGGGGTGCCAGATAGGGAGTTGTAGTGTCCAAACTTGGGTTTATAATGTTTTGAGGGAGGAAGCCCATTGAAGAGTAGCAGGTGTAAACTGGACTCCAGGGCACCATGGACTTAACCTTTCCTTCTCCTTCATCACAGGACCATTTTGGGGGTAGTTCCCTGCTGGAGTGACAACCAGACCTCCCCAGTGACCGTCTGAGGTGACTTCAATCAAGACAGAACCTCCCTTTGGGCTGATGGAGAACCAGGCACCACGCACTTTCTCTGTCACCATATTATGGTGGATTTGGGCTGCAGCCCAGGCCTGGGCCTCCTGCCACTGACCCAGCCTTGGAGCCTTTAGTGAGAGCCCTGCAGAGACCACCCCTCCTGCTGGGGGCCTGAGGCTGGCTAGTGACTATGCGGCTTGGGCTGTGTGTGGTGGCCCTGGTTCTGAGCTGGACGCCCCTCACTTTGGGCAGCCGAGGGATCAAGGGCAAGAGGCAGAGGCGGAGTGAGTACAGTACACCATCTGGCTGACCCACCGCTGGCCTTGGTGTGGGTGGGGCCAGGAACTGGGGGCCTAGGGCAGCTTTCTTCTCAAATGGCTTTTGGTTTGTCCCTGCTTTGTAGATTATGCAGTGGATTGGTGAGGACTGTGGATTATTCGGTGGGTGGGTTCATTTGTTGAGAGCTGCTCTGTAAACTGCTCACTTTGTTGACTTTCCATCCTCTTGTAGACTCTGCTTTCTGCCTAGGCGGCTCTTTGACCTAGTACCAGCTTTGTAGGGTATCCATGGCAATGGTTCCTGGGGACAGAAACACTGCCCAGCATGCCCATTTCCCCATCCCAGGCTCAGGTCTTGATGACACCTCCCTGACCTGCAGACCGTTGGGCAAAGGTTCTGCACATGTGGGCAGCAGCTACCTGATGCCCCCTCTAGATCACTGTAGACAGGGACAGTACAGCAGGGAAGGGTGAGCGACACTCTCATCATGTGGCTTTTAAACCAGGCCTGTGGGACTCCAGGGTGGCAGGCATCTTGCCCTCCGGAGTCAGCAATGACCTTCCCATGTAAGGAACTAGAAGGTGCTGAACTTAAGAAAAGCAAGTCTGTGGTCCCGGCACTCAGAAGGCTGGGTGAGAGGATTGCTATGAGTTTGATGCCAGCCTGGACTATAGTGAGAGACCCTGGAGAGATGGCTCAGTGGTTAAGAATGCACACTGCTGCCAGCAGTGGTGATCATGCCTCCTGGGAGGCAGAAGCAGGTGCATCTCTGTGAGATTGAGGCTAGCCTGGTCTACATAGTGAGTTCCAGGCCAGCTGGGGCTACAGGGAGCTCCTGTCTCAAAAAGACCGAAAAAAAAAAAAAAAAAGCAATGTATACTGCTCTTGCAGAGAACCTGGTTCAGCTCCCAGCACCATCTCAGGCTGCTCACAACAGTCTATAACTCCAGCTCTGGCCTCCAAGGGCTTCTGCACTTATGTGCATAGACATACAAATGCACATTATTAACAATAAAATAAATCGAAAGAAAGAAAGAAAAGGTTAATCTCGTCACTGAACAGAAGTTCAATGTTCTTTTACTTTTTGCTTTCTGTTCCTTTTTGGTCCTGTTTTGAGACCCTGTAACCCCAGCTGGCCTGGAACTCTCCATGTAGACCACGCTGGCCTGAACTCACAGAGATCCACCTACCTCTGCCTCCCAGTGCTGGGAGACAGAGTTTGGACTGCAGCCCTGACTGGCGTGGCACTTGCTATGTAGATCATGCTGACCTTGAACTTGCCTCAGTCTCCCCAATGCTAGGTTTACAGTGGTGCATCGTGGAGCCCGATGAACCCAGTCTTCCTAAACACAGCTTGCTAAAGCTCAAGGTTAACCTGTCAGCCTCCCCACCTGACCCAGGTGCCTAAGAGCTTCAGTGGCAGAGGCCATTATGTCAGGGAATGGCCAGTGTATGCTTGTGACCCCCGACAGGGAGTCAGGTGGGGAACTCTGTGTGCCCAAGGCCTTGTCCCCCTTTCGACATTCCCCAGCAAGGATGTTACGCAGGCATCCTTGTTTTTCTGAAATCTCACCCAACTCCTTCTTGCTTCACTTTTCTCTTCCAACTGATTCCCGATTGCCAGGGAAAGCTGAGAGGCTGTGACATTTTGCTGGGTCTCCACGGAAGTGGCCAAGACCAGGGCTCAGCCTGGGGAGGGAAGATCAGGGAATTGGTGAAGCTGAAAATTCCCAGCTTAACAAACAATTAAGGACAGTGAAGTTTCAGCAGCAACGGGGCCTTAGTTTTCCTCTCTGTGCCTCTGTTGTGGTCAATGTTTTGGACTCCACAGGCCAGATGTGGTTTAGTGGTTTATAATCAGTCTCCTCTATTTTTGAAATGGGAGAAAGGAAGACACAGTGGCGGTGGCGGGGGGGGGGGGGGGGGTGACTGAGAGAAGCCAGCCGCACACAAGTGACAAGCACAGAGGTCCAGCTTACCCTCGGAGGTCACATGCCCACTGACAAGAGGGACCATCAGACCTGGGTTCCCGTCAGTAAAACTGACACACAGAAAACCAAGTGGGGCTCAAGAAGGCCAGCTTCCAGCGATAGCCGTAGGACATGGTGATTTTGATGTGCCCGCTTTTGATACAGCCATATCCGGCTGAGTGGGGAGCATGTACACTAGTATTTATTATTGAGTGATGTGAGAGTCAAGGATGGGAGAGGAGAGGACTCAGATGCCATGAAGGTTGCCAGTGGACTGAAGTTCACCCAGCACAGGGTATGTGATGTTACCCAGTCCTCATTACTTGATGATCATCAAAGTCTTGGCTGTGGTATCACTGGACAAGAGAGCAGCCAGGCATCTGGTAGATAACAGAGACAGATATGGGTACACAGCTGGTTAGTTTGTGGTGCTGGGGATTGAACCAGGGCCTTACATATGCCAGGAGAGCAGTCTGTTGCTGAGCCACACCCTAGCCCTAGATATATATGTAAATATATATTTACATTTTTTGAGACAGGGTCTCCCTAGAGCCCTGGCTGGCCTGCAACTCACTGCATAGACCAGATCTTACAGAGATACTCCTGCCTCTGCCTCCTGACTGCTAGGACTGAAGGTGTATGCCACCAAGCCCGGCCCATATATTTACATGTGTTTGTTTGGTTTGGTGTTTTGAGACAGGGTCTTCTTGTAGCCCAAGGTGTCCTGGAACTCAGTATGTATATCAGGCTGGCCTTGACCTCACAGGGATCCAGCTGCCTTTCCCTCCCAAATTCTGAGATCAAAGGTGTGCACCAACTTACCTGGCTGCTCTTTGTTTTTTGTTTGTTTGCTATTTATTTGTGTGTTTGTTCATGTGGGATGGGGGCCTCATATGACACAACTCAGCTGTGGAGGTCAGAGGACAATCTTGAGGTGTCAGTTCTCACCTTTCCAGGTTGTTTGAGACAGGGTCTCTGACACTATGAGCCAGGCTAGCTGGCCCACAAACTTCTGGAGATTCTCTTGTTCCTGCCTCCCATTTCCTATACAGATGCACACACTAGCAGTACTTGTGTTGCAAATGCTTTTACCTGCAGAGTCACCTCTGCAGCCTCCTCTTTTTCAAAAAATAACCTTTGTAAAGCATCAAGCCCCACATAGACTTCAGGATGCAGGTCATGGTGTGGACCATTTTGTGCTATGATTTCTGGGCAACAGGAGAGGGAAGTTGGATTGAGGCATATGTGGGAGGTCACTGAGCAGTGGCCAGCTGCAGAGGTGGGCTCACTGTGCAGAGGAGCCTCTGGCTTTTGACTGTTTGACGTCCCTCTTGGGCATGTCAGCATCCCAAGGTGTCAGCCTGTAACCACCTTCAAGAACTGAGCCCTATGCCAGTTTGGATCTGGAAGTGCCCAATCTTTAGATCTGAGAGATAGTCTCCCAGTATGGAGTGAGAGAGTTGGGAAAGGACATCCCTTTGGTCATGGGTCACGAAACTCCTTGGCAGAGTCCCCTCTCTTCCCCCACTTGCTGAGAAGCATCTCCCTCCCTCTCTGGTCCTTACCCCCTCCTGTGTTCCTGCACCTCACTAAGCCCTCCTTCCCTCCCCTAGACCTTACGTTGAGCACCCCTTTCCTCAGTTCCTTTTATCTGATTCCAGAACCCTCCATAGTCCTGTCCCTTCTCACTGCCTCAGAGCAACCCCTCAGCTTGCACCCCTCTAACTGCCTGTGCTCTGAGTCCCTCTTCCCTTACCCAGCTCCCACTTTGTGGTCCCTCAGCAAACTGTATGGAGAACCAGCAGACACAGGCATGGCGGTACAAGCTTGTAATCCTAGGTCTTGGGAGGTTGAAGCAGGATTGTTGCGAGTTCAAGACTAGCCTAAATTATATAGGTTACATAGAGAGGCTAGCCTGGACTATGTCCCCAACCCCAATAAAAAAGGAAGAGAGCCAGGCGTGGTGACGCATGCCTTTAGTTCCAGCACTTGGGAGGCAGAGGCAGGTGGATCTCTGTGAGTTCGAGGCCGCTCTATACATGCAGACAAACACACATACACATACAATAAAAATAAATAAATCTCTGGGCGTGGTGGCGCATGCCTTTAATCCCAGCACGCAGGAGACAAAGGCAGGTGGATCTCTGTGAGTTCAAGACCAGCCTGGTCTACATTGTGAGTTCCAGGGCAGCTGGGGCTACAGGAAGACCCTGTTTTCAAAAAAAAAAAAAAAAAAAAAAAAAGGAAGAGGAGGAAGAGAGAGCTCCTCCCTCTTTACTCCCTCACACATGGCAGATGGATCTTGAGATTCAGCCCAGTGCTATGAAACTGGGACAGGAGGACACATAGGAGCCTGGGGTGTCTGCTTTAGAAGTGGGTGAAACCAGAAGCTGGGAGCCAGATTAACCCTTAGTTCTACAGAATACAGAGTACTTGCCCCTGCCCCTGTGGTGGACTCTGTCCCACAGGAAGGCAGCACCCATCAGAACGTTGCAGAGGCCATCCAGATGGAGCTCCCATCTACCCTGCCTGGGGTTGCACTGAGCTGGGGAGATGATGCTGCAGGGTGGAGCAGAATGCTGGGGGCACTCCTTAAGCTGTGGCTGATAAGCACCACCAAGAAGGTTCCATGTGGGAAATCTGGATCAGCCTCAGGAAGCTGACGGGGGGAAACGTGTTGATGAGCAGGCTGGCCCTATAGGGAAACATGGAGGGTTGGTATCATGCTCCCACTTGAGTTAGACTTCCAACTCTCTGGGCTCAGTGAATGTGCATCAGACAACCTTGGGTCCAGGGAACCTCAGGAGCAGACCCAGCTCCGAAAAGGCCCTTGCTGCTTTTCCTTGCTCTCCTTCCCCAGGCCTGGCCCTCTGTCCTCCTAGCCCATCAACACGTCTTAGGCCTCTCTTACTGAATCTAGGTTCTGTAAAGCTGGACCATGCCCCACAACCATGGCCGTTAATCCCACAGTCACCCCCTGTTGACCCAGCCCACTTATGTCCCATCTTCTGTCCAGCTGCACTCCCCACAGTCTA